CTTGTGTCCTGTTGTGGCACTATAGGGCAAGCACTGGATTCTAACCACAGGGTCAGCAGTTCAAACCCACCAGCCGCTCCTCATAAACCCTATACAGGGTTGCTATAAGTCGGAATCAACTTCATGGCACTTAACAACTGTATACCCCAAAAGATTTTACCATGAGTCAAACGAAAAGCCACATAGTAGGAAAAAACAAGTGACAATAAATGCCGTATCAGACAATCTCTTAAATTTATAGAAAACTTCAGTACTTCAAAAAGAAAAAGACAATCCAATTTTAAAATGGGCAGCGGATATGAACAGAAACTTCACCAAAGAAGGCATTCAGGTGACCAACAAACGTATGAATAAATGTTCACAATTATTAGCCACTGATGGTGGTGGCTGTACATTGTTGAATGGTTCAGATGTAGAGTGATCCTGTACAGGGTTTCCAAGACTGTAAATCTTTACAGGAGCAGAAATCCGTGTCGTTCTCCTATGGAGCAACTGATAGCTTCAAACTGTTGGCCTTGCAGTTAGCAACCCAATGCTAACCATTGTTGTTGTTGTGCGCTGACAAGTCAGTTCCAATTTATAGCGACCCTGTATAGGGTTTCCTTGCAGCAATAGTGTGTTTTAACTACAATCTTGCAGTTCGAATCGACCTTGAGGTTGAGTGATTATCCAACTGTACTACACCAGGACTCCAATGCTAACCACTGGTGGTGGTGGTAGTGGTGGTATGTCAAGGAGTCGGTTCTGACTCATAGCAACCCTGTACAGGGTTTCTGAGGCTGTAAATCCCGGGATTTATGGGAGCAGAAAGCCTCACCTTTCTCCCGCTGAACAGCTGGTAGTTTCAAACTGCTGACCATGAGGTTAGCACCCCGTCTCTCACAATCACTATGCTACCATAGCTCCTTACGCTAACCATTAGAGAGATGCAAATTAAAAGAACAATAAAGTAGCAACTGTCCACAGCATTAACTGCTAAATTTAAAAAATCAAATGCTGTCAAGGGTGTTGAAAGACTAATCCTTATACACTGTCAGTAGGATTGTAAAGTGGTGCAACCACTCTGGATATAAAACCATGTGATAACAATGATCTATGAGCAGATGCGTGGATAGACATGGAGGTTGAATGGATGTGGGAGACAGAGAGGGAATATATTCACAAATATAAATAGATTTGACAGAAGATACCTATCATTGGGTATTTACCTTTGCTGCAAATATATCCAAGAATAACTTGATGTTATGAAAATTTTTTAGACCAAACAGTTGAGGGAATGAAATTCTGGGTCTAAGGGTTTAGGGCCATAGGAACATCAAGATCAACTGGCATAACATAGCCCACAAAGACAATGTTCCACATCCTACCTAGGTAACAGCATTCCCTGTCCAGAGAAAGAAGAGTGATGGAAATTGAAGGCACAAGTAAACAACAATGGACTAGTTGTTTTTCTTAGGTGCAATTGAGTCGGTACCAACTCATAGCGACCCTACCTATGCACAACAGAATGAAACACTGCCCAGTCATGGACTAACCTCACAAATGTTGCCACACTTGAGCCCACTGATGCTGCCATTTTGCCAGCCCATCTCACTGGGGCCTTCCTCTTTATCTCTGACCCTCCACTTACAAAACATGATAACCTTCTCCAGTGACTGGTCACTCCTGACAATATGTCTGAAGTATGAGAAACTAAGTTTGGATATCCTGGACTCCAAGGAAAACTCTGGCTGCACTTCTTCCAACACATATCTGTTTGTTCTTTTGGCAGCCCATGGCACTTTCAATATTCTCCTCCAACACCATAACTCAAATGCATCAATTCTTCTATGATTTTCACTATTCCCTGTCCAACTTTCGCATGCATATGAGGTTATTGAAAATACCAAGGCTTGGGTCGGGCGTACCTTAGTCCTCAAGCTGATATTTTTGCTCTTCAACACTTTAAAAAAGGTCTTGTACAGCAGATTTGTCTAATGCAATAAATCATTTGATTTCTTCACTGCTGCTTCCATGAGTCTTGACAGTTGATCCAAGAAGAATGAAGTCCTTGACAACTTCAATCTTTTCTCCATTGATAAGAATGTTGTTTACTGGTCCAGTGGTAAGGATTTCTGTTTTCTTTACATTGAGATGCAATGCAAGCAAAGGCTGTGGTCTTTATCAATAAATATTTTAAGTCCTCTTCACTTTCAGCAAGCCAGGTTGTATCATCTCCATATCATAGATTATTAATGAGTCCTCCTCCAATCCTGATGCCATGTTTTTCTTCAATAACCCAGCTTCTCAGATTATTTGCTGAGCATACAGGTTGAACAAGTATGGTGAAAAAATACAACCCTGTCACACACTTTTCTTAATTTTAAACCATTCATTGTTCCCATATTCTGTTCAAACAACTGCCTCTTGGTCCATTTACAGATTCCTCATGAGCACAATTAAGTGTTCTGGAATACTCATACTTTACAATGTTGT